GCGAAGGCATCAATATTGGATAGGGAAACATGTTCTTTTCTATGCTTTACCCTCCACCCCTCTTCTAATTTTAAAAGAATTGAAGATGTTTACATGGGCCTCCCAGTGTCTTTGGTCCCTGGGCTGAGAAGTCTGCTCTGCCCGGGGTGGGCAGAGAGATTGGGGGCCGGGATGCGGGGGGAGGGGGGCAAGTTTTAGTGGAGGTGGGATAAAGAGACCTCCCTCATCTACCCAGAATGGAGCCCCAAGGGCCCAGAACCCACCGTGGTCCGGTCTGTTCTCCTCAGATTCCTAGCGGCTGGCCTAGGACAGGATGGAACAGGGAGGGTAAGGTTCCTGAGGCTGGAAATCCGTACTGAAGCTGGGGAATGCTGGTGGGTTCCCAACTTCCGTTAGCAGTCTACTGTTTAACCCCAGTTAACAAGCGTGCCCCAGTGTGTGCATGGATCCGGTCTGGGGATGACCTGTGGGCACAGTGGATATGTACATGTGTGTACCACATGTATGTGTGAGGTGTGTATACTGTGTGTGTAGTAGTGGGTGTGCACTGTGTGTACACGTGCGTGTGCTGAGTTTGTATGGATACTGTGTGTGGTAGGCGTGGGAAAGGATGGGAGGAAGGGAGCTGGGGGGTGGGGAGTTCATTGCTGACCAGGAAGGGAGACTGGTTACATTTAGGGTTCTTCCCCAATACCCAACGGTTTAGAAGCATCACTCAGATCCAGTTGCTTCCAAAACTGGGGGGAATAGTGGGTGAATAAGGACAGTAGAACACTCCACACACATCTTTGGTTCAAGAGAAAGGCACTCATCGACCTCACTACTCTCTCTCTCTCTCTGTCATCTCTCACATCTCTCTCTCTCTCTCTTTTTCATCTCTCAGGGGGAGGGCTTGCAGACACCTGGTCTGGAGGTGAGGGAAATTCTAGCATCCAGCACAAGTCCTCGGGGAAAATCTTTGGTATCAGGCGTGATTTTTCCAACCACAGACATGAACGTTTGAGTGAGGTAGCCTTTACCTGGGGGGAAGGGGAGGGGCATTTCGCCGGAAATGTCTTTTGCATTCTCAAGGGGAGAGGGTGGGGGTGGCCCCCCTCCCTGGGAGGCAGCAGAGGGGAACAGGGATTGGAGAGGGTGTTCCTTCTAGCCTCCACATCTTGAACCCCTTGGGGAGGAAGTGGGGGGGGGGGGAGGCAAGCTGGGGGGAGCCAGCTGCCGACCAGCCACGGGAGTCGCCGAGCAGGGCTGAACGGGGGGAGAGGCTCAACTCCACTGGTGACCCCTCCCCCTTGTAATTATTTTTGGCAAAA